ACTAGTATTGAGAGAATTCGTATTCAACGATGTTCATATATTAAATTTATTTAACTCTCATACAAGATATCGTCATTTAATATATATATATATATATATATATATATATATATATATATATATATATATATATATATATATATATATATATATATATATATATATATATAATATATATATATATATATATATATATATATATATTATATATACATATATATATATATATATATATATATATATATATATATATATATATATATATATATATATATATATATATATATAATATATATATATATATATATATATATATATATATATATATATATATATATATATATATATATATATATATATATATATATATATATATATATATATATATATATATATATATATATATATATATATATATATATATATATATATATAATAACTTTAAAATATGCTCATATGAGGATAATTAACGAGAACTTACAGTGATTTGAGCTAAGGAATAAAAAAAAATTCCAAAACTTTTGTTCTCTTAACATGAGGACAACAATTTACTAATATTTTTTTTTTACTACTATTTTAAAAAAAATTTTTTCAAATTTCATTTAATAATTTTTTAGTGTTTAAAAGATGTAAAACTAAAAAACCTATCGTTGTAAGGGTTCGGATTTGGGGGTTTGAAAATAAGTTTTTAGGTTTTCGATGCTTCCAAGCTCTAATCATTGCAATGATTTGCAAAGTATAACCTAAATACGAAGTACTGCCGGTTTTTTTACTATTGTTACAGTCAGAACCATAATCACTACGTCCTGGCTGCTCAGCCGTAATATGAGATACGACAATGCAAGAAATATGTAGATTTTTAACTTTTACCTCTTTTCAAACTTGAGTTATAGTTTTTATTCGCCACAAAAAATTCAACAGAGTTATTGAAAGCAGCAATCTATTCAAAAAATAATTTATAAAGTATAATAATTTTTTTTTTAACAATTAAAATATTGTATATTAATTTTATTTTAGTTTGTTAAATGTTTCATTTGTTGGTTTCAATTATAGCGTTTCTAATTAATAAATGTTTACGTAATAAACGGAAAAGTTAAAAAAAAAAAATTTATTAAGTAACAATACGTAAAACAATAAATAAAACAATAATAACATTATATACATTACAATAATATACATTTATTAAGCAACTAAATAAATTATTTATACAATTCTCTATTGTGGTTTAAGTTACTAAATATAAATTATCTATAAAGGGTTGGACATTAATATAAATTGATGTCCAAGTTTATCAATAAATTAATGAACTAGGCATCACCAATTCTGTAATGAATTGGACTTCATCAGTTAAATTCATTGATAAATTGGACTTTATCAAATAAATTTATTAATAGAAAATATTTTTACACAAACTATTTTTAAATTTGTATTATGATCTTGTTGATGGTCTAATGATCTGTTCTTTAATAGTTTATTAATCTAATTTTCTTAATTGTTTGATGATTGAATTATAATAAACGAGTTACTTTATTGTTTTTCTTAGGTTGTATATATAGCCTTGTTATATATAACTTGATTGCCAACAAATGCAACCAGTATTTTTTATGGCATTTATAAAATTGTAGATTTATTTTTCTTCTTTTTATTTAAGTTGTCGGGTAGAGCGGGGCTAGTTAAGCATATTTTGGGTAAATTAAATCTCGAAAAGCATAGCATCTTTTATCATCTTTGCATAGCATGGCAAAACATCTAACGGATTAAAGTTAGTGAATTGGAAAGACAACAAAAGGTTGTTGGATGGTAGTCGAGTAAAACGTACGGCCATATTTTCTATTTGGACAAAAAAGTGGAAAATTTTTTGTTATTTTTCATTCATTTATTTTTCTCAGACGTTTATAAATTTGCAGCTATGTAATTTATAAATAAAAACTTTATAAATATGTTTTTAATTACCTTCTGATCTTGTATACTCAAAAAAGAGTTAGTTGTCATAACTGAGCTAAACATTCCAGTCAATCCAGAAACAAGAGTAATTCCTATTATCATCCAAAGTATTGAAAGAATTCGACCAATAAGTGATTTTGGAACTATATCACCATATCTGAATAAATAAAAACACATTTCCTAGAGATTTTGTTTGCATTAATAGTTTATTAATACAAACAAGCTTTAATAAATATTTGCATTAATAAATGTCATTACTTTTTGTATGATTTAGGGTAAAAGAAAAACTATACTTGCTATTCAACTATTTTTTTTTTGTAATGTGTTTAACTATCTTACACAGGTCGTCATCAGGCGTAAAATGTAATAAAAAACATGAAGAAAAAAACAAACAAAAAAAACAGTTGAAAATATTTCACACAAAAAACGTCGAAAAATACATTAAAAGATTAAAGCGTTACTTTGGGGCAAAAATAAAAAAGTAGTATGATTAAATTTTTAAAAATAATTGGACTCTGTTCTTGGATTACTTGTTTTTAGTTCTGTTGAATAACTTTTAGATTTAATTATCATTCAAAAAATTATCTTACCCCACTGTTGCTACGGTAACAATTGACCACCATATACCAGTACCAAATCCTTTCACAAAAGTGTTGCTGAAATCATTGTTTTTTTTGCATTCCTTTTAAAGAATTAACTAATTTTTTGAAGTATTTTTAAAATACAAAATAAAAGTATGTATAAAAATAAAATATTTTTTCACTAAAAATATTATTAGCGCATTAATGCCACAGAAAGTGAACTTATATTTCATTTTTATACAATCTGTATAAATTTTAAATGACTTTAAAATTATTAAAATTATCTGGTAAATTAAAAAGAATTCATTTTTAGCTGAAGATCATTTGGGCAGATATAATCACCTATGTAGATATATATTGTTGCTAATCGATTAAAAATATAGATATAAAAATTGTTTAAGTTAAAATTTGTTTTTCTATAAATATTTTATTTATTCAAAAAAACTTTATGTACGTTACATAACAATATTTAGGTTTAATTGGTTTTTAATTATTATTATATAACAGATCTACTTAATTAAACCTCTTAAGAAGTTAGTCGGCTACTTTTAAACTTTTTGAAGGGTTACCTCTTAATCTTTTGATGAGTTACGTTCTTATCTCAGGGCCGACGACACGGGTTTTGAAGTGTGGGGGTAGGGGCACAATCTTCAATGAAAAAAGTGAAAAAAGTCCTTTAAAAAATCTTTTCTTAATAAAAAGAAAAAATGGTCCTCTAGAAAAAAAGAGTGTGTGTGGAGGGACATGCCCCTCTAGCCTCCCGGTGTCGTTGACCCTGTATTTAATTAAAGAGTTAGTTAGCTACCTGATGATCTTCAGAACTTATTGTTTTATTTGAAAAATATACAGCAATTGCAAAACGTTACCCTGATTAATGAAAGTACTAAAAATTAAATAATTATTATATAAATTGTTAAAATTAAACGTTAAAATAGGTAAAAGGAGTGCAAATAAAAGTGTATTTAAAAAATAATTTTTATGTAAGCAAGGAAAAGTTACATATTTACAAGTTTCTATAAAGTTGGTTAGTATGTTTAGCTTTGAATAAAAGAAAAAGATAAAAATACAAAAGTTTTAAATAATTTATTATTAGATTACCCGAATCAAAATAATTTATTTCTCTGAATGTTTCTTAACATGATTTCTTCATATGTTTTTTTTATTTTATTTTTGTTTTATCAAGCAACAACTTTTGATAGAGAATTTCTGAAAATCAAAATCTCCGTCAGAAATGGGATTTGATTAAAAAAACAAAACTAAAAAAAATACTAAACTAGTAAACTAGTATTATAGTAAACTAGTAGACTTCAAATTATTTAGTATTTAAAATTAAATTCATTGGTATTTAAAAGTTTTTTTCAGAATCAGATGATTTTTGAGGTATTTCTTAAAATTTAAATTTTGGGTAATGGGTAAAAATAATTAAAATCTATTTATATATGCACCCAGAGACGATTCTACAAATAAAATAAGGGAGAGGGTTGGTTAATACTCAAAAACTGAGACTGGCTCCTAAAAAAATAAAAAATGCTCCTCAAAACTAAAATTTACTCAACTAAAATAACTCAAATGTCAAACCTGGAAAAAAATAAAGCCAGACCAGAACAAACATTAGCTTCCTTAAAAAACGGACTATAGTTTAAAAATTATTTTATTTGAAGGGAAGAGGAGTGGGTGGGCGTGATCAGTGTTACACACACAGCCGTAAAATTGCTTCCTGTATGCACCCTTATTTTTGCCATTCCTAATGTATCAGAGGAATTTGTAGATTTATTTACGCTTAACTCAAAACATTAATTATTATATTTAGAATTATTTATAAATTTAAACTTTAATTGAGTAATCAAAAAAGAAATGTTTGAAATTTTTTTAATCTCAAAGTTTTGAAAATCTTACAGTTAGCCACAGAAGTGCTGAGAAAATCAAAATGAAACCACCAGCATGCAAAGCAATTGAAGTACTTTTTTTAATAGATTCAATAACTTTATTTGTAATTGTTATTTTTTCTTTATTAGTTATAACACCAACACTTGGAGAATGAATAAAAAAGTCTGCCTTCACTTTATAAGTTGACAAAAAATTTCGATCTGGAGTAATTAATAAAGGATACCATATAGCATTGTTTATAGTTATATTTTTTGCACTCTTGAACCCACTAGAGACTTCTCTTACAGTTTTATAGAAGACACTCTGAATAAATGTTTTGTTAACCAAATGAAATTCAGCTAGCTTCTGATTAGGACTACATAACTCAGCTAACCGATTATACAAAAACGGTAATATACCGTCTAACGTGTTATTATTATAAAATATAAAAGGTTTGATCGGCCAGTAGAAAACTTGGTCAGGTACTCTTGCTTCTATCTTGTTTAGAAACAACAGGAAGACTAAATACAGAGTGCGCATCTTTATTAAGAAGATATTGTTATCTACGTTTTAAAACTTTATACAATTTGGTTGCTATCAGATTCTCTAAAAATAACATTATTTTAAAAATACGGTCCTAACTTACTGTCGTTAATAATTAAACAATAATCGTTAAGAAATTTAGCGAATAATAAAATAATACTATATAATAATAATAATTTATAATATGATAATAAAATTAACAGAGGTTTATTAATAATTTAATAATATATTTTTCAATGTACTATATAAAAGCTAAATAAGTCTACAAACTATAAAAATGTTATTGATGAATTTCTATAAGTTAAGTATACGTAATATATATATATACATATATATATATATAAAAAGAAGTGAGTTAAGTATTTTTAAATATTTGTTTTTAAGACTTTAAATTAGGAGCTATAAAGAACTATAAAGATTAAATGTGTATAAATTTAACACAAAATTTATTTACAATTAATAAATAATATAATAAAATATGTTACAAAATAAACATTTCATATATCTTTTTAATGAATAATTTTGTTAAAACTATTATAAATAAATTTAAATAATTAAATATCAAACAGAATATAACAATTTTCAATTTTGTTCTTCGATATATAATAAATACGTCATAAGATAAATTTAAAATATTAATGATATGTTTATATAACGAAAACAAATCAAACAAGAAACAAATGCAGCCAAATATAAAAGAAAAACCACATATATAACCACAAATACTTAAATTTATTTATTGCCAATAATGATAATTGTTCCAAATTTATTAATTTTGTGCTTTATTATTGAAAAAAAATATAAAATTAAACATCTAAGTAGAAAACATGTAAAACATTTTTTCACTATGAAATCGTCTTTTTAATAGTTTTAAAATGTTTATTAAAATGCCAAATAAAAAATTTGTTTCTTAAGAACAAAATTATTAAAGATACCAAAAGATAAAAGATAAAATTAATCCGATAACTACCAAAAACGAGAATGAAAAAATTATTTCCACTTCTAAAATTAAAAATCCTGCACTTTACTCTGGCCCATCCTGCACATTACTCTGGTCCCTCATATTTTCTCCTTATTAGAATCGCTGGGCATGTTGCTAATGTCCCAGTAAGCAGACACTATTTAGCCCAATAGCGAACCAGGTTCGGCTGCCGAGCTGTACCAGGCCTGGAACGCCAGCGCCGTGCCAGCACCGGGTTGCTCATTGGTTTTTCAAAGGGCCAGTATACGCGCGTATACTGGCCCTTTGCATATAGGGCTTAAGCACTGGTTTTTATTTTATTATATATATATATATATATATATATATATATATATATATATATATATATATATATATATATATATATATATATATATATATATATATATATATATATATATATATATATATATATATATATATATAATACTATCAATATATAACAGCACTGGCTTGCGTACGCAAACCAGTGCCGGCGCAGCAACGTTTTGCTAGCGGCATGCCAGCATTGATTCAAATTATGGCCAATGCTGGCAATCAGCGAACGTTGCACTAAACGCCCACTATACAAAATTGTCCAATTAAACTACTTTTTTCATAAATTTTTACTAATTTTACTTATTATAAATAAATATATATATATATATATATATATACATATATATATATATATATATATATATATATATATATATATATATATATATATATATATATATATATATATATATATATATATATATATATATATATATATATATATAAATATATATATATATGTATATATGTATATATATATATATATATATATATATATGCATATATATATGTATATATATATATATATAACTATTATATATATATATATATATATATATATATTATATATATATATATATATATATATATATATATATATATATATATATATATATATATATATATATATATATATATATATATATATATAATAGTTATATATATATATATATATATATATATATATATATATATATATATATATATATATATATATATATATATATATATATATATATATATATATATATATATATATATTATAGATGTGCCGGAACCAGTTTATGCCGAGTCTCCGATTCCGGGTACCCAGCTGAAAAAACCGGGTCCGAGTCCGGGTACTCGGCACCGAGTCCATTTTTTAAAAGTTGGAATAAAAACTTGGCAAAATTATCTTGTGTTCTAACAGAATAAAAAGAAGCTATTTTAAAACTTTTTTTCCCATTCTTTTTATTTGTATTCTCGAATTATTTCATTTAGCGTTACAGTTTTTGTATCCGTATAAATTTTTTTGCAGAAATGTATTAAAAAATATTTTAAGTGAGATTGTTTTAAGTTAATAGAACTTTGTGGTTATCAACTACATAACACTCTTAGACTTATATCAAGAAGTTTAATGGTTAAAGTTTAAACAAAAGGAAAAATCAATTTGAAAATACCCGGTGCCGGGTACTGCAACAAAATAGCCGATACCGGGTACCCGGTAAAACAGCCGAATTGCCGGGTCCCCGGGTCCGAACCGGGTACCCGGCACATCACTAATATATATATATATATATATATATATATATATATATATATATATATATATATATATATATGTATATATATATATATATATATATATATATATATATATATATATATATATATATATATATATATATATATATATATATATATATATATATATATATATATATATATATATATATATATATATATATATATATATATATATATATATATATATATATATATATATTATATATATATATATATATATATATATATATATATATATATATATATATATATATATATATATATATAGATTATCCTGGCCATATTTTAAAAATCCGGAATATTTTTTTCCTTAAATATCCGGAAAAAATCCGGAATTTACGTATTGTAGATTGTAACAAGGAGGGAAAATGTAGATTGTAACAAGGAATTGTAAAAAGATTGTAAAAAGATTGTAAAAAGGAGATTGTAACAAGGAGGGAAAAGGGCGTGCTCTCCTCCATTCTTTTATTTTACTAAAATATTACATCAATTAATAAGTATTCTTAAACGTATATAACGTATTCAACGTATATAAGAATAAAAAACTACATAACTTTTTTCATCAAAAAAAATGATAATAATAATAAAATATTTAACAATAATAATAATAAAAAGAAGATGAAGTTAGAGAAGGAGTAGAAAACTATATTTAAAAGCATTTAAACAATGCGGTAACTTTTTTTTGACAAGCACTTATACATTTAAATACATAATGAATAATAAAATATTGTAGAATTCACCAAAGATATACAAATAGATAAACGTTTAACGCTTTGTTACAGATCAGAGGCGCCGTTATAACTGAAATCCCACGGGCATTATTTATTTTAGCGTTTCGGTTTTTTTGTAGTAATTTTACAAAATAAACCGACATGTATCCGACACTTTAGCTTGCCAGCTTCTTTCAGTAAACATTTTATTACCTGAAAAACACCAACTTTCGGAAAATATAAATGAATTTTAACTACTTTCGGAGCATGCTTAAATCGCAGTAAAAAGATAGGAAATAATAATAATTATAAATCACCAGACTTCTAAAATACAAAAAATAAAAAATCTTTAGTAATAAATGTTTGAAAAAGAAAATAAATAAATAAAAAGTAAAAAGATATTGAATTATTTTTTAGTAATCAGTTAGTTTTCTAAAATTAGTTCTTCCACTCAGTGCTTAAAATGTTCGAAACTTATTTTTTAGTACAATGGCTTCTTTTATTAAAAAAATCTCCACGTTCAAAAATTATAAAAGTTTAAACGTTCGTTAGATAAATTTAAATAAAAATTTTAAATTTATTTTAACTATGATAAACAAAAGGTGAGGCATTATTAATGATTCACGTGCTTATTCACGTGATTCAAAATTTAAAAGATTTAAAAAAATGATATTTTTTTCTAATTGAAAGAAAATAAAATTAGTTTTGACACGCGCTTTTTGAATTGAAAAGAAAACGTGCCTCAAAATGCGATGTTTTTAAAAACCTAATAATGGCACTTAAAAGCAAATTGATTCACTTGACGTTTAGTCAAAGTACATATGTTTAGATTTCATTAAAATAATTACATAGAATAAAATCCTTATAGTTTGGAATATAGTTTTGTTATATAACACTTATTTGTATGTAATAGCTTATTACTAACAAAGTAATTAATCTTAGTCAGTAATAATAAGTTTTTTTATAAAGAAGAAAACAATAAAAGACAATTTTAAATATTTATATTTATTTATTATTAGATTTATGAACTTACTTTCAATAACTTGACAAAATTTAAGAATTTGGAAAGACTTTTTTTGAAGATCACCTTGCCCTGTCCAATTCGATTTTTTTGCTACTTCCCTTTTTGCTGCTACTTCCTTCACCTTAAAAAAAATTGTTACCACTTGTAAAACAATTTAGTTCATTTTTTTTTTATTAACATTAGTTATAATTCATAAAATGTTTTGCAATAGGCTACAAATTAATAGTCAAAATACCCTAATCACAGAGGTAATTATGATCACTTTTTCCAATCTCGTTTTACTTTTGTTTAATACAGAGACAGGTGTCTGCAGACAGGACTTTTTTAATTCTTGATGTTCAATAAAATCTTGTGAGTCACAATCATAATTTTCATCGGGTTACTTCTGTTCTCTAAACACACACAAGTCTAATGTTAAAATATAGCTTATAGAAATTTTTATGGTATATTATAAATACCTTAAAGTATACATAAAAAAGTATATATGAAATACAAAATAATACCTTAAGATATTGCGATGTTCAGTAAAAATAATTTTAAGGCTAAAAATTAACGGAGTTAATAAGCGTATACTTTAGTTAGCCATTCCAGACGATTTTTTTATTATTCAAATAAGCATATAAGCCTTTGAATTGAGCGGATCAAAAGTTAGTGAATTTTTTGTAGTGAAAAAATGGATGATTTTTTGATTAAAGATATAGGGCTTAAGTATGGAAAATTTGCAGTGTTATGGCACCGAAAAAGA